ACAAATGGAGGGACCCACTTCGATTTCAGCGAAAGTCTTAGAGACACTTGGCGTCACACTAACGAGTGCCTCACAGTAATTGTTAATGATGCCCAAATGGAGACGCCAGTAATTTGTGGCCTGCGAGTATTTCTACAAGCAGTCTTTTCGAGATTTTTGTGCAGATGGCAATCACTTGGACCTTTAATATCAGCAATGGGACTGCCCAAATGAAGTAATCGTCCAGAAAGGGCCTGTTCTATCAACAGGGAGAGAATTGTATAAATCGTTGCATACGAGGGGATTAATAAAAATTTGGTTAGTTGGTGACTTCCAGTTTATTTTTATTAAATCCACAATTACCAAATCCTTTGCAGTTACTTTATTAGACTTCTCTTCAAATTTTTGAAAGTTCGCAAACAACGCAAACAAAAACTCGCTATGTGAATTTCTTTGGGTTTCGGCGTAATTTACAGCCAATACAAATATTCAGTGAATGCCAAAATGTATATGAACGATTGCACTTCTTGTCCTTAAAAACTATTTTTAAGTGATACTAGACATTTTTTCCTAAAAAAGGACCCCTGAGAGGCCCGACCAAAATCTTCCATTGATGACGTCGCTGTAGCTCTGTGTAAGTATGATCCAGAAACCAAGCAGCAGTCTTTAGTATGATGTGGGCTTACTTCACCCGATCTAAAATCGTAGCTGCTACTTCACTGTGAAAGGGTCAGGCGGTAAGGCGGCAGCTGCAAAATGGTATACTGAAGAGGAAGAAAGAGGATTTGCGGCGCTACTTCTTACATCATGACAACGTGCCATCCCTCCCACACTGCTGAAATTACGAGTAATTTTATTGCGATCTCTGGGATCGAAGAAATACGTTAAGTACCATATTTCTCGGCTAAAACACCTTGTGGTTTCTGGTTATTCCCAAAAATTAAAAAAAAATTAAAAGTAAAGATCCTTAATAGCAACGAGGAGATAAAAATTTAAAAAAGCAAGAATTTGAAGACCGTATTTAGAAGTGGATCTAAAGGCTTAAAAAATGCATTGGAAACAATGGCGAACATAAAAAAGGACAAAGATTACAAATAAATACAAAAAGACTATTTTTTTCGGTTTTTTCTGGTGAACTTAGCAAACTTTTGTTAATCCCCTCGTATTGAACATAAATCGGAAAAATCTAACTGTGGCAAGAAGCCTTTAATTTAATGCAGAAATAATGAATTACTTTTTAATAGACCGAATGTATTAAAATAAGTCTTCTACATCAAAACTAAAGGCTCAAACCTTTTTGTTTAGTGCAACAGGAGAACGGAGAAATTATTAAATTTTCCCGTATTTTAATCAAACTCAAATCCAATTTTAAGGAGTCATTCCTTTAAAAATAGAAAAGAAAAATAATTTTTGTATTTAATTAACTTCTTACTGGAATTTTTACAAAGCAGAAATCATAAAATAAAAATATTAATTTTCAAGCCAATATGGAAGGGGCTGAATGTGTTGTTATTTTCTATTTCTATTTTCTGTCGTGCTTTATCACTTACTATATATTCCTTCGAAGCTATTATTTTTTTTGACTGAAAATTATTTTCACTTTAATTTGTGACCGTTAGCACATAATGATGGTTCAATTTATTTATTATTTTTCGCTTCTTTTCCATATCAAATCTACACACTTACACAAACAATAAAAGCTCCTTAGCAGCACACATTTCACTCAGCTGACGGCAATTGCCGTTACCCCATTTCCCCCATACACTCCATTCATTATTTGAAGACACTCAATCTCTTTTGCAGAACAATCAGTTTTGCATTGCAAAAGATTATCATTCAAAATACTTACTCGTACAATAAAATTGTGAGAAAATGCAAATAAAATGGCAAATGCAATAATAACAATAAAATCTAGTCAACGTAAACAATAACAATTTCCAACTAAACTGCTTGTACTTAATAGTGGTTGGTAGTAAAGTGAAAATGAGATGATGAAAGTGTAACCAAAGTGAAGGATACACAAGGACCTTGGCACTACGACACAGAGCTTGGCCGTGGACGCTTTCCATTGATAAAATAAATGTGCGTCGTTGTGCGTAGATGTGTGAGTGTATAAGTAAGTGTGAATCGCCTCAATTGGCGGCCAGCAACAAGGGCAATAATAAAGTTAAAGCTTAAAGTGTAAACCTGAGAAGCTGAGAAGATGTAGAAGATGTAGAAGAAGAGATGAAGCGCAGGCTTTTACACTAAATTTTTACTCTCTTCGTTGCTTTGCGTTATTGTTGGATTTTTCTGTTTTTGTATCAATTTTTTCGCTTTCGCATGGTACTTTACTATCATTCCTCATTGCTGGGCTGCTGTATACGGAGCTGCTAAGTGCTGGCGTAAATTTATATTTTGGAATTTATGTTTGTAGGCGTGTGTATGCAAGTGCGTTTGTGTGGACATAAAAGCTGTGCGTATTTTGTTACTGCTTCACCTTTAAATTTTGCGCTTTTCTGTTGGAAATAAACTGGAAAATGCTTTTAACTGCTCAGCAAAGGCAGCAAAAGTAAAATCTTTACAAACAACAACAACAACAACATTTGCTTTAATGCTATATCAAGTGTAGAGTACAATATATAAGTGTATGTGCACACATACAAATAGTATATTTTTGTGCCAAGAAAAATCATTGTTATTATCCTGTTGTTTATGTTGCCTCGTCCTTGGAAGGTCGCCGACTCGGCAGCAGGACATTACTGGTACGTACGATGACATTTATGTATATATAGAGTGTATGCTTACACATACAATTTTACAAATAAAACGGAAATGCATTGTGACAAATAGTTATGCTAAATGTGTGCGCTTGTCAGTGTGTGTGCGTGTGTGTGTGTGTTACTTGGGTTCACGCAGTGCACCATAAATGGGGTCATACTCGTCATAGTTATCTTGAAATACATAAATGTTGCAGTGAATTTATAGCAACGTATATAAAGTGTTGAATGTATGGTCAGGCACACACACACACACACACACACACATACACAGAGGCACATGGAAAAATGCAAAGTGCACATGCACACCCGCACCCAAGGAGCTGAAGAAGCTATAAAGTGCATGTCTTTTAGTAATATATTTGTAACAAAAACAATAATAAAATCAGTGGAAAAGCCGTAAATGACACGGCAAAAGGAGTAAAGGCTACGTTACTGGTCAAGGATGTGCGCTGGAGGACAATTGTTTTTTTTTTTTTAATTTTATTTGTTGCTTTTAATTGGTGCTACTCCGCTTTACTCGGTATTCGTGGGCGCTGATAACTGTTGATTTACAAAGGCAACTGGTACACATTTTTCACGCACCAGATTACATACATAAATGTGCCAACCTTTGCAGGGAAATCATGCACTTGGCTGCACATCCATACAAAAAAAAATAAATAAATAAAATAAATAATAGTCCAAATTATGAGCTGAAGAAATTAAGTTGAAAGAAAGCAGAGCCGAAGCCTTTATACCTTTAAGGACCAAATAAAGTTTATGGTATTTCATTTTCAGACTAATTATTTAGTATCCAGTCCGAACACATCGGTTGTAGATGAGCTACTTCGATTTCAATGATTTACGGAGAAAACGTTTTCTTGTAAGGGGTGATCTTAGTAGAGGTACTTATTTCAAATAGCCTTTTTTGACGGATTGTTTGGCAGTATTGCTTGGCACATCCTGATGGAAAGACCGACGCCTGAACAACGTTTACAAATCGTTCAAATTTATTACGAAAATTCTCGTTCGGTAAAAAATACTCCTCGCGCGCTTCGCTCAACTTATGGTCACCTTAATCGACATGCTGAGCGTACTTTTCGCAACACCATCATCCATCTTGGGGCCTAGCATTCTTTATTGGATAATATTCGACCGAATAGACCATGTCAAGTACGTAGTGAAGAAAATATAGCGTACGTAGCTGGAAAGATGATTCGGTGCCGCTAGCAACAACTCGGTCTGACGTGTGGAACGATTTTGTGCATTTTACGTCGAGATCTTAAATTGAAAGCGTACAAAATACAGATTATGGAAGAACTCGTTCTGGCTCTGGAAAAGTTCCAAGAAGATCCGACTTTTTGAGTCAACTTTTGTTCAGCGATGAGGCCCATTTCTGGATCAATATGCCGCAACAATTTGGTGTTGTTTTGTGGGCGGGTGGAATCATCGATCCATATTTCTTCAAAAATGGTGCCGGTGACAACGTCAACGTCAAGTGTGACCATTATCGAGCCATGATAACCGAATTTTTAATGCCTGAAATTGAAGCGCATGATTTCGGTGGCATCTGGCTTCTACAATCAATGGATTTATGGAGAGAACACTTCGGTGGGCAGATGACATTTTGCGTCGGTCGATTGGCCATCAAGATTGTGTGATATCACAACGTTGGACTTTTTCTTGTTAGGATATGTACAGTCTTAAGTCTATGCGGATAGTTCCACTTCATTTCAGGTCTTGGAGCAAAACATCACGCTGCGTCATTAGTCAGTCAACAGTCGAAATGCTTTGTACGAGTCATTTGGAAATCGGACTCAACGGATGGACCTTCTGAGACGTAGCCACGGCCAACATTTTTAAGATATAATCTTCAAAAAATAAATGCCAAAGCATGTTTGAATGAATAAGAATAAACTTTCCCCATCAAATTTGAATTTTCTGTATTTTTTCCTTAAAAAAATGGGAAAAGGTGAACTTAAAAGGACGAACAGATGAACATATCTAAATTCACTCTATTCGTCATGCTGATCCGATCGATATACATTTTGATGGCCCTACCTGCTCTCTTTCTGGTATTTTCATATTTCAGAACAAAGTTATTATACCAATTTATGTAAATGAAAGGTATACGAAATTAATTTTTTTTCTTAAAATAATTAAAAATTTTTTTATTTGTCATATATATTTATTTACATATTTTTGTATTATAAATATTAATAGTTTTCATGAAATTATAATTTTTTATTAAACTCTCCCATGTTCTTTTTTTCATTCCAGTCAGCTACAGTGGCCGCGATAGCAGCGGGTCAGCCTTCAGTGAGCCCTGCTCTACGGGATCCTTTCGTTGCAACGATGGCAAATGCATAACTTCGTTATGGGTGTGCAATTATCAGAAAGATTGTGAGGGTGGTGAAGATGAGCAGCAGTCGTGTCGTAAGTATTTTGTATAAATAATTAAATTATTTTTAAGATAAATATATGAAAATCGGGGTCATTATACAACCTTTCATATATTGTTTTTTAAAATGGTCCATTAAATTTTTTTCTCCATTTTATTGTTTTCAAAAAATGAGAGCCACGATTGTTGTAGCTGCACGTTCTAAAATTTTTTTTATATTTTTTATTTTTATTTTATTTTATTTTTTTGCCATTGCATTTAAAAAAATTTCAAACCACTTTTTTCTCAGCAGAGTTTAGTGGCCTTACTTTAGACTCTTACTACTTGCTGCCCTTAGGCATTTAAAAATATATACATATACAATATCCAGCTACAATTGGGATTTTTCCCATTTCCTTCTGACCAGTGCAAGCCACCTAGTCCACTCGTGGTGGGTAAGATTGGGCGGAAGACAAAGTTGTTAGGTCCACTGTTTGGTCTAAAGGCGAAGCAAGTTTCTTTCGTCAAAGCCTAGGTAAACTTGAATCGGCTAAATGCGGAGCGTGCACAGAAGAGGACTTTTCCAAGTCCGCCTCCATCTACAGCCGATTGAGATACCAAACCTTTCACGATTCTTTTCAAACTCCAGCCTTACGGATTGGGCAGGCAACAACTGAAATCAACCTGTTCGCTAACACATACCGGGTATAAGCCAGAAAGCACAGCGCGCCTAGAACACAATGGCTTGGGTGTTCCACAATAGTCTGCTATGTAAGTTGCCGCATCTTTTCATAGAATTCTCGAGCATTACCCTTCTCGCCCAGCTTCTTTATACACATGCATTTTTGCTTCTTTCATATTTTAACTGCAAATTCGTCTTGCTTCCCTCCTCAGCTCTCTGTCCCACCTCGCACAGTTTGTGATCGATCGCAAAGTTTCGGTCCTGGGCGAAGTCGATCAGTCTCAATACATTTACGGATGTTTTGTCATGGAGGCTGAATTCTAAAATTTTTGTGCCAAAAAATACCTTCTTTGCCCACATCCCACACAATGTTGCTCTCTACTGGGAGGGCGTTGGCGTGAATCATCACAAATCCGGCACACGCTTCTTTTTTATGGCAAGTAAGCGTCACAAGGGCTTTCACACTTCGTTTCTTGTCCCGTTCATTTCATTTCTTGCGGCTTTGGTGTCAGCCTTTAGTGTAGCGAGAACATCAGCCTGCTGGGCAGCGTGATCCTGAATTCGTTGACAGTGGTCGTCAACAAAGAGTGATTCAAAGCTCCACGCGTTGGTTAGTGTGTCTTGCGCAAAATTGTTCACATATCCAGGGTGGTCGACGTGAAACAAGGAAGGGTATATATGTATGCCATTACATTTCAAGACAAAATTATTATTAAAAAATACGAGGCAAATACAGAAAAGATAGCAATTTTGTTCTTCAGATTCAAAAATGTGTTAGGAAGAAAGAAAAAACATTAAAATAATCAGAGCTTTTTCTATCATTTTCTAGTCCATTAATTTATTTGTTTTCCATTTTTAGTATAATAATTATCATTTTTTTCTTTTATTGTTTCAATTTTTCCTTTAATTCTTTTTTTAATTACTTTTTTATATTTTATTTTTTTTTTTAATATTTTTAATTTTCTTAATTTTCTTTCTATAGTGCTAATTTTTATTTATATATTGTTGTTATTAATATTTTCTAAAATTATTTATTCTTGTTTTAATTTAATAAATTTCCACCAAATTTCTTTTCCAGCGCCACCTGAATGCGAAGCGGGCCAAATCAGCTGCGGCCAATATATCTTCAATAAGACCTACTGCATACCGCCGCATTTTCGTTGTGATATGACCGATGACTGCGAGGACAAATCAGACGAATCACAGTGCAGTGAGTTGAGAATTCATTAGAAAATATTTATGAATTTAATATTAAAAATTTATGCATATTTATACATACATACCATATATATTATGTATTTTTTACAAAATATGGCAGCAAAGCAACTTCTGCACAATTCCTTTACAAGCGAAGAAAACGTAGCTTTCATTGTTGTTGTTGGCAGTAGTATGAGTGAAGTGAATTTCGCCACGTGAATAATTCACTATTAATTTTTTTTATTAAGTCAGTAATTTTTTTTTATTTTTTCTTACCTTCTCTGAAACACAATTTTATTGTTCTTTTGCTTTTTCTCGTTTTTTTCATATTTTTTTTTATATTTCAAGTGTAAAGAAAAAGCGCCACTTCAGCTAAAGACAGCATTTGTTATTGTTATTTCCATATTTCACTTTTGACTTTTACTTTCCTACTTTTCAAAAGTTTTGCGCTGCTTACTATTTTTGTTGTTGTTTATATTTTCGTTTTGCATTATGATAATTTTTATTATTGTCATTGTGTTTTTCATTACTTACTCGCTGGAATGCGCCAAAAGAAATGCTTTGTTCTAGCTTTTGTCGTTATTGTTGTTGTTGTTGTTGTTGTTCCTTTTGCCTTTTATTTTATTTCGCGTCTGTTGCTACTGCTGATTATTATGCCAAATTTCAACTTTTCCCAATTGCTCAAAACGCAAAACAACTGTCACACTCATACACACAAACACATACACAAGACTCTAACGCCTGGTCGACACACTCGGCTTATGATGGTTCGGGACTCCGTTGCGATTTTCTATGGAAAAATTTGAAAATTTTTAACATGAAAATATTTCTACGCAACACTCTGCTGAGGCTTGGGGAGTTCTTTTTGACTGCATTCTAAATGAACACTTCACGTAAATAAAAGCGAAATGGGAAAAGTGAGCGAATGAATGAATGAATAAATTCATATATATAAAATAGATGTGAACTCTCGTGTGGGTATTTGTATGCGTATTTCTGTGCGTGTGTTTGAGCTTGCATTTGTCTGCCCAAAGACAATTGAATATGTTGAATAGCGCGTTGTTAGCATAGAAAAGAAGAATAACAAAAAATTATGATTTTATTTTTATGTTTTTTTTTTTTTTTGGTTTGTTTCTTTGAATTGAATTTTTCTTTAACCATTTGTAATGCTGATGCTCATTGTGTGGCGGCAAGTTCAAGTGTTTTTGTTGAATGAAATAAATTTTCCCAAATTATGATTCGTAGTTTTTTGCACAGAAATTAAAAAAGAAATCAGCGGTTTGTTCTTATTTGAACAATTTTTAATTAAAATTTATTGCTGATTTTATTTTCAAATATTTCATAGCATTTCTCTTGGAAACTTTATATGTACATTTATAATTGATATTGAAATCTTGCAAACAATGATTTTAAAAAAGTTACGTATACGCCAGGGCACATAATAATTTTATTCTGAGCATAAAATGCAACATAATATAGTATTTGAGTGTGTCGAAAAAGTACTTGCCGTAAAGGGAGACATCCTTGCCATCTTAGCCAACATGGAGGGAGCTTCCGGCAAGCTTCTTAATACTCTTCTCATAGTAGCTCTTCAAGAAATGAGTTTCCCCACTGAGATCCATAATCATCTTCGATCTTGTGGGCAGCGCCTACAACACTATACAGGCCACACAAAGAACTCTACAAGATGTAGTCTTACCCTCACCGCGGTCTTCTAGTAAAAACACAGATTCGTGAGCTAAACATCTTGCCCCAAGAGTGGTAGGAAAACACTTGAAATAAATTCACTGTAATCTATCGGGTCGCCCCTTTGTCATTTTCCACCAGGGCAATACTAAGCCGCACACATCTTTGCTCACTCCCCAAAAACTGAGAGAGCTTGGCTGTAAAGTGTTGATGCACGCACCATATAGCCCTGATCTTGCACCGTCCAACAACCATTTATTTCAATCTTTGAAGAACTTATTAAATGGTAAAACTTTAGAAAATGAGGAGGCAATAAAATCGCACACCGTTCAGTTTTTTTTTTTTTTTTTTTTGCAAAAAAAGGGGAGAAATTCTATGAGTGTGGAAAAATGATGTTGCCGAAAAGACAACAAAATGAAAATTCCACAATTGATTGATTAAATAAAAAAAAATTGTTTGCGTTCTTTTAATAAAATCGCCGTCTTCTTTTGTGGCAAGCCAATACTTCTAAACGCACTAAACTTTGTAATAAATTAATTCAAAAACAGATTAGCTATCAACATAGGAAAAACCGAAATGGTTAAGATAAATAGAAATGATGCGAAGGACACGTTCGTTGTGTTATCGTCTGTTGTCAAGGTCTATTAGTATTTTTGCGAAGATATGCGGCTAGAAAGTTCTCAGTCTCAGCATTGTTAATGCAGATTAAATCTCTATTAACTACGATATCGAGGAAAAATTTCTAACTTTACCCAGTGAATTAGACCCAAAGTGAAGTACTTTCTCTGTCAAGTGTTTATTAAAAATATTACAAAACATCAACCATCGAATTCGTTCGCTTTAGAACAAAATTTTTGAACATGAAAATAAAATTTAAAAAAATAATTAATATTCATTTCGAGCTCTTCACGATGCCAACTAGGAAAATAAATTTGCAAAAAAAAAATTCTCGTAGATTACCAATCAACCAAGCAGTAGAGTGTTCAAAATTAAAATATTATAATTTTCAAGCAAAGTGCATATGCATGAAAAAACTAAGGTTTATTGAAAACTATAGCATGTTATGCATAGTTTACCCATTTAAACAGTATTAGTACTTCAATTTTTACTTGGTAAATTCAGTTCAGAGTTATTAAATATTAAACTTATCAATTAATAATATTAAATTATACCTTAAACGTTTTTATTTTAAATTAGTCTTACGTTCAATTAGCACTCAGAATTATTCGAAACAGATTTTCACTAAAAGACCAAAACAGTAATAATAATTCGATAACAATATCCTTTGAGCTCTTAATTTTACTCTTGAATATATAGACTGTGACCAACAACTCTTTGTAAAAAAATTCAATTAACTGCAATATAAAGCACAGCACTGATAAAGAAAACACTTTACACATTTAGAATTTAATTATTTTCACACCATATTTGCCACATGCCATCCACACATGGCAAGAGGTTGCGTATACGCCACCAACCACTGTTGACTGGGTTGGCAAAGTGTAATTAGATTACGTATACGTACTGTACGATTCATCTATTTATATGCAGATTTTACACTCTGATTTTCCAACAAAGAGAATATAAAAATTAAAAGCTTTTTAAAATGTGTTAATTACATGGAAGAGTTGTTACAAGGAATTTTTTAAAAAAATTTAGTTTACAAAAATTATATAAAATTATATTTGGGCTAAAAAAAATTTTCCTTGAAAAAAAATAGATAAAGATTTGGATTTAATTATACACACAGGAATCTATTTAAATTTAAATATGCCAGTTTTTTTCACTTCCTTCAATGTTAATAATCGTAAACAGCAAGCAGACATTCTTAAGCAAAAAATATGTAATTTAGTAAAAGTACGCATGTAAATAATTTAATTTGTACAAGAATTTACTTAATGCTCTTGGGGTGCTAAGCACTTTTCCCCGCTTACATATCGTTCTTCACGACATATGCAAACTCGCTTCCTGTTACAATATATGTGCATATGTACATGTTAGCTTCAAAGAGCATATTGTTAACCTAATGATGAGACAAGTGAAGCAATTTGATGCTTTTAAATTTCGTACGCATTTATAAGACGTTTTTGGAGCACATACATACATTCACATATGGGCATACGTATATATTCGCAAATAAAACGAAAAACGCGTGTTACTAGAAAAGCTGAAAGGCGAAGTTTGTGAGCTGTGTTGCCACAAGACTTACATGACCAATGACTTTTTTGACCAAGTACGGCAAATAAATGTTAAAAATTTATAAAAATATTTTCAAAATCTTTAAAAAATAAAAAAAAATATTTTACAAGGCATTGTAATTTCTCAACCTAAATCAAAATCTAAATTAAAACTTTTAGAAGTTGCAATACCGAAAATATAATAATAACTCATTTTATTTTAAATTACTTTATTTTATTTTATTTTATTTTATTTTATTTTATTTTATTTTATTTTATTTTATTTTATTTTATTTTATTTTATTTTATTTTATTTTATTTTATTTATTTTATTTTATTATATTTTATGGTTTTTGGGAATCAAAATTGTACCATTTACACATATATATTTGTTATATACCAACACGTATTTGAGTATATCCTTTCTCCCGTTCAACACTTGTTGTTAGTTTGGCTGCTTGCCCACACCATGTCGCATTAGTCCGTCCACTTGCCCGATTGTGTGCATGCTCATCTCATTGTTTGCAATAGCCGACAAGCAGCAAGCAAGCAAACCAAGCGAAATGGGCAAATATACGCAGATAGGTAAACAGTGATAAACGCCGATGGCAGGCGCAATCACAAGTAGACGAGGCAAGCAGCCGGAGCAGTGACAACCAAATGGCCTTTAAATGTTTTTGTTTACAAATAAACACACTGACACACACGCCCGCACACACACACATGACATTAATGCAACCAACCAACATACAATTGTTTGCTTACTCTTGCGTATGTGTTTGCACCTCGGTTTATTTGTTTCACGCAAACACATACATAAGTAGATATGTGTATGTCTGTATTAATATATTTATTTAGTATATATGTATATATTTACTTGTATATTATTGCGAGCACACGCCATTTGTTACATACATACATACATACATACATATATATGTATATCCGAGCAAAACACATTTGTATGAACAAACATTGCTAACATGTTTGGTTGTTGCTGTTATTGTTGCTTTTGAGATTAGAAACAAGAAATTATTAAACCAACAAAGGTTTTAGCAGGTGTGAACTGTTTACTCGGCCTGACACGTTTGTGCGGGCTCACATAGCTCAACGGCTCAAGTTAACCGCACCTCGACACTATAACATTAAT